TTTAAATAAGTTATATATTTTTTATTATTAATTTATTTTATTTGTATTGTAATTTATTAATTTGTATTATATATGTTTGTGTGTGTGTGTATATATATATATATATTTAACTTGCATAACTAAAATTACTTTTTGCTACTATTTTTTTTTATAATTATAAATAATTACAATTTGATTATATATCAACATGGTGCAAACAGAGGTAATAGCTGTAGCCAATCAAACGCTGCCTCTCTCTCCAGCCCCGCCCACTCAGACATAAGTTAGAACTCCATCTAAACATCTACCTCTTTACATTAATTTTCAATATAGACGAAAGAAACAAGCACTCGTGTATGATGGTATAGCCTGAGACTTTATCTGACCGTCAGCTTCGGTCAAGGACTGTGACGTCACATCAAGAGCAAAGATTTTTTGAAGAGCGACGACCCAAGGCATATTTAAAATGTCACTTCATGAATGATCTACGTCAAGCTGTCAGACCGCCATCTGCGATTGAGAGATGATGGAGAGATGACCGATCCACATGTGGACACACAGGACAGAGACATCGAGGAGAAAGATTCGGACATTTACTGAAAACGCCGTCAATGAAGTCGTGATCCATCTGCTCTGAATAATTTGATACATTTGAATAATTGATACATTTACAAACATTAGATTTTCTAACAGGACTAACTATTAATTGGTTTTATTAATTGGAAATAAATAAAACCTAAAACTGAACTAGTAAAGCCTAAATAGTAATATTTAAAAAGAACAAAAACGAATAAAATATTAGTAATATGGCAAAATTACTAAAAATTAAAGTAAAAAAATAAAAATGTGAAATGAAAACTGAAAATATAAAATAATATAACAACAAAATATATTGAAACAAAAAACTGTCTGTAGATTTTGAAACTGACATATTAACTGGAACTAAAACGCGGATCAGCCGAACAATCAGCCTGTCAATCAATCACCACTTCAAATGATATCAGTGAGCTGTGATTGATATGGATGTACTGATCTGTCATTAACATGTTGATTTTTCAGGAGCAGTATGTGTTTATCCATGATGCCATATTGGAGGCGTGTCTTTGTGGCGACACCACGATCCCAGCCAATCAGCTTCGCTCAGTGTATTACGACATGAACCGCTTGGACCCGCAAACCAACTCCAGCCAGATCAAAGAGGAGTTCAGAGTCAGTCTGACTCAATATTTATAAAAAAAAAAAAAATCCAAATAACTGCAAATAATTTGAGTAATAAAATACAACACATTACATTTTATATTAATACTGTAATACTATAAAACAGTATTAAAATAAATCAATAGAAATATAGTTAGGTAAGTTTGTGCATTAATTTCAATTGTGTTTTCCTTTGACAGACGTTAAACATGGTGACGCCCACGTTACGGGTGGAGGACTGTAGCATTGCACTGCTGCCGCGGAACCATGAGAAGAACCGCTGTATGGACGTGCTACCGCCCGACCGCTGCCTGCCTTTCCTCATCACCATCGACGGAGAGAGCAGCAACTACATCAACGCCGCACTCATGGACGTACGGCAGCTCACATACACCTCAGCTCTTAACCTAGTGACCGTTACCTCAGCTCTTAACCTAGTGAACGTTACCTGCAGTTCTTAACTTAGTGACCATTACCTGCAGTTCTAAACCTAGTGACCATTACTAGTGACTGTTACCTGCAGCTCTGAACTTAGTGACCATTACTTCAGCTCTTAACCTAGTGACCGTTACCTCAGCTCTTAACCTAGTGACTGTTACCTGTAGCTCTTAACCTAGTGACCGTAACCTGCCGCTCTTAACCTAGTGACCGTAACCTGCCGCTCTTAACCTAGTGACCATTACCTGCCGCTCTTAACCTAGTGAAGGACAGCGACGTGTCTCTGATAGATGTGAATCACTGCACGCAATTATGTGCTCAAAAACAGATGGAATTGATTTCATTGTCGGAAAAATAGCTAAAAGTGATCCGTAACAGTAAACAAACAAAAACAAAATGCAGTAACACAATTGACTGGGATTTGTTTGTAAAAAAAAAAAAGTCTCTTTTTTACCGTACACTTTTATGATTTAATTAATTATTAATAAGTTATTGTTTTTTACATTTTTTGTTTTATATTTTTGATTTAATTACATTTTATTTCAGTTGTTTTTATTTTAAAATGATTTATTAAAATTGTATATATTTATGATTTAATTATTATACATTTTTAGGATTTCATTTAATTATTATTTTTTTATTAAATCATACATGTTTTATTTAAATAATTTTTATTTTAGAATGATTTATTCTTATTTTACAGTATTTAACTATTAACAAGTGTTTTGTTTTGATAGATTTTTTTATTATTTATTTTAAATTTACATTTTGATATAATTAATCATTAGTAAGTGTTTTATATGGATTATATTTTATTTTTTAATTATTTATTTTTATTTCACATTTCTATGATTTAATTAATTGTTATGCATTTTTATAATCTAATTCAGTATTAATAAATGTTTTATTTACAACTGTACAACTTATTATTTATTAATAAGTGTTTTGTTTTGATATATAAAATATTATCATTAAAATAATTTTTTACTTTTTCATTTTTACTTTTGCTTTAATTCATTATTGTACATTTTTATGATTTTGTTTTGTTTTTATTTTAAAATAATTAATAAAAAATTTCTACATTTTATGATTTAACTAATTAAGTACATCCGTCTCTATAATAATCGCTCGTTTTTTGCATCTGAGGCGACGGTGTCTCTGATGGATGTGAATCACTGCACACACGATTATGTGCTTGTTGAAAATAATTCAAAAACAGATGGAATTGATTCATTTCATTGTCAGGAAAATGGCTAAAAGCGATCCATAACAGTGAATGAAGTAAAAAACGCAGTAACACGATTGACTGGGATGGGTTTGTTTGTAAAACACGCGACAGCGCATTTGTTTTCATTACAGTAAATGGAAGCGC